ATATATATTTGTGTGTGTGTGTGTGTGGTGTGTATGTTTGCATGAGTTTATGTTCACTTTTTGTGTGCAGGTGCCCTTGGAGGCCAGAAGAGGGCACTGGAGCCCATGGAGCTGGAGTTATAGGTGGTTTTACGACTCCTGACATGGGTGCTGGGAACCTAACTCTGGTGTTCTGAAAGAGCAACAAGTGATCTTAAGCACCCAGCCATCTCTCCAACCCCCATTTCTGATGTGTAATATTCTTTTTATGATGGAAACAAAATTATTATTATTTGACATTATTTTTCTGTCAAAAGACTTTTAAATGTATATAACACATAGAATTGCATTTTTTAGTATTTAGTATTGGCTAGGTTACCAGAGAATGTTGTGCCACAATATAAATGTTTAGTTAATCTTATTTAAGGATTACTTTCTAAAAATGTTGAGCTATTTTACTTTGTCAAATTTATTTGCTCTAATTAATTTGTATTGCCTTGACTTTTAATAATATCTTTAAATTTTAATTATATTTGTGTGTGTGTGTGTGTGTGTGTGTGTGTGTGTGTGTGTGTGTGTTGGGTCTCCGGGACCCTCATAATTGTGGCATAACTTACGACAAGGCCTATTGTAACTTCCTGAGCCTGACTAAAGTTTGGCCACCTGTCTCTGGCTGGTCACTTCCTCGTGGAGGTGACTCAGCAGGGCCTGACCTCTCGGACTGCCTCTCCCCAGTCACAGCTGGCGTGGCCAATTTCCAGTGGCTCACAGCCATTGCCCCAGATGACATACACCTTTGCCCTTCCCTTTTCCACACCCCTTTTTGATTAAACTATATAAGGTAATGCCTGATGCAATAAAGTGAGTTCCTGCCTCGACAAGACTCCCGACTCGGTGTGGTTTTTGAGTCGCCGACACTCACCATCCCGCTCAGCCCCTAAGAGAGGAACCCAGGCTGGTCCTGGCCTCTCTCCTGATGCTGTACCTGTTCCTGTCAGAGAGCGATCCGACATGTGTGTATGTGTATGTGCCTGTGTGTCTGTATGTTTATGTCTGTATCTATGTGTGTAATGGGCATGTATGGAGGTCAGAGGACAACCTGTGGGGGTTGGTTCTCTCTTTCAACCTTGGCTTCCACGGAGCTCAGTTCCTCAGAGGCAGCAAGTGGCTTTGCCCATGGGATCATCTCACAGGCGCTACACGATCTGAATTTTTTTGTTTATTGACTATGTGTATCTTCTCATTTAACTTACATTTAAATAAAATTATTTGTCTGTTATAAACAAATACATCTTCTTAATCCTGCTTTGGGATTTAAAAATGGGTATGTTCACAGGCCTTGCAAAATTCAGATTATTTTCTAGCTACATATGAGTTTCTGTTAAAGCTAAGATTTACTATTTTTCTTTAGAAAGGGCTCATCCCTTTTTTTAAAAAAATATTTCATTTATTATTTTTATTTTATTGCCTGCATGTAGGTGAGTGAATCTGTGTCCTGCAATGCCCGCGGAGGACAGAAGAGGCTGCCGGATCCCCTGGAACTGGAGTTACAGACAGTTGTTAGCTGCTATGTGGGTGCTGGGATTTGAACCCAGGTCTTCTGCAAGAACAGTCAATGTGCTTAACAGCTGAGCCATCTCTCCAGCCCCATAGAAAGGGCTCCTCTGCCTTTAGATTGGATATAATTGTCTTTTAAAAAAAATTTTAATAACTACGTGATTAGAAAAATTT